CAGTTCTGAAGGCGAAAGGGGGTCAAACACCGTATTAGTATGGTGTTCCTAATAATCCTTTAGGTGAGTGTATTTTGCAACAACAAATCACTGATCGATTTTTTTCCTTTTTCTTTAACAGATTACCATCTAATTGATATTTGTATATTTATTACTTGATTATAAGGTAATAGGACGGACAGCATCACTATTCACAGAATTTTATTGACTTTCAAAATACAATACAGCTGTTTCAAACGCTTTTCAAATTACAGAACTGTACAAATTAAATTACTGAACTAAGTAAAATTCAAACACACTATAATACTGTACTGCTACGGCATCTTGCAAGCGAGAGTATATAACCCTGTGTATGTCTTGTATATAGCCCGTTTGTATCTTTTACTGTAGGTACTTGTGCTGTCTCCGGTTGTCGCCTGTGCCTTTAACTGTGGTTGGACCCTTCTTGCCTGACCCTGGGATGTCTTAGCCATTGTGTAATTACCCGCCGTGTGTGCACCTTACCGCTTTTAGTGTACCTTCCCCGTGTTTCTGTGTGATTCATGGCTTTTGTATTATTGTTGCTTGTTGTGCGGTCCCTTTAAGGAGTAACAAAGATCAACTTCATGTTTCCAATCGCTGCTGCCACGATTCCTTGATCTGCTTAGCTAACTAATTCAGTACAATATTGTATATTAAATATATCTTATTGTAGTTTGGCCTTTGCTAGTTTTTGACAGTTTATCAAAAATTATATTTGTCATTGAGAGAAAATGCCTTTCGTTTCCGTCATGTTTTCTGTTTGCGTCATATTAGTCTCAGGTAGCCAGCCAGAAGGAGACGAGATACCGCAAAGCTTACCAAAGTAAAGTAAAAAATAATAATTAGCCAATTTAAATTTTTTCCTTATGTTGTCATGTATAAAAAGACTCAAAACGAACACTGTAAGGGGACTCCTTGGTTACTATAAATGAATTATTTAAACAGGAATGATTCTGTCCCAGGCTTTTTGACCCATCACTGTAACCATACATCAAGAGTCTTCTTTGTTTTGGCGCCTATGTAGTGGAATGAACTTCAAACGATGACTAAAAACCTACAGCACCTCTTTCAGAAGTACTTGGATTAGCAATTCCAGAGTTATACTCATTATTATAAAAAAAATTGTATTACTTGCCAACAGAGTTTTTAGATAGTATTCTTACCCAGGTTCTATTGAGCCAGTATCAGAATGTATTTACTAATGAGACTTCAAAGCACTTATGCAAGTCGCTCTGGCTAGGAGCGTCTGCCAAATGCCATAAATGTTAATGGTAAAAATGGTAAAGAAATTTATAAACGTAAATGACAGATATTGAAAATTATTAGGTAAGGAATTACACAGTACACAACGAGTAAGACTTCTAAATTGCAAAACCGCATCCTAAGATCACATACAGAAAGTAATTACTTGATATCTAAATAGTGGATATCCATATCATTTATGTCATACACTAAATTACTCACTTCCTTAGAATCATGTTTCCTTTAAGTAAGACAGACTGCTGAGTAAGGGGCTTTGGGCCAAAACCTTCCCAGGGCAAAGCAAACCTGTGTGTGTGTCTGTGTCTGTGTGTCTGTGTCTGTGTCTGTGTGTCTGTGT